CACCATAATTAAGGGTCTTGATTGTGTGAAGTGCAAAGACACCGACCCAGACGAAAACAAGTTGTCCAAATATGAACGTCTCATCCTAGCATTAGAAGGCTATTGTAGCATTTGCTGAGTTTACAGCAGCGACTGTAGGCCGAGTTTACACTGCCTACCACTGAGTACTTACAAACTAATCTCCAAGCAGATCTTTTGGTGGGGGTAAGACAGTATCAAATTGGCCAGTCTGTATCCATTTCCATTTCCCCGGGGACATGGATACAGACTGGCCAATTTGATACTGTCTTAGTAACTCTTACCCCCACCAAAAGATCTGCTTGGAGATATCTGCCAACGATATGTAGGCGAAAGTGAAAGGCCTATATAATGTGGATCACACACACAAATTTGAAAAAAAAAAGACTCCCCCTTTCATAACAAAGTCTTTTTCCTCTCTCCACTTTAAATCTTTGGATCAGCCCTCGATCATCTAATCGGTGATGGAAAGCAGAACACAAGATAAAACTCACGCAGGACAGTTCTGGGTCACACTGTCAAGAATTTACCTCACAAAAATGATTTTTATTACCATCGCCTTAGGCCATGGGGTGAAGAGCTAAATGCATACTGTACTCGTAGATAAAGATGACTCAAACTCAAAGGCTAATTCTGTTACAGACACATAGTCGAATTCGGCGTCCCAAACGCTAGCTCAACGCCCCCAACTATGGTTAGGAATAGGTCGGGACCAAGGTCGGCTGGTGTTCGGCCAGGTCGGCTACTGTTCGACTACATGTACACCAACCGAATGTTTCAAAAGTTTCAAACATTCTGGTGTGGACGGGAGGTTCGGTCATGGTTGACTGGTGTTAGTGTGTCGTTCAGGGCATGGTTGGCAGTCAACTTTGACTCAAATTTAGCTCAAAGTCGATTCGTATAGAAAGGCTTGGCCTTAAAATCTGGCCGGCTGGTGTTCGGGGGAAGGTTCTGAATGTGTGAAACCGGCTTAAGGCGGTGTAGGTCGGTGGTGGTAAGGTGGTTAATAATAGGGAGAACCTCCTTGGTAATGGGAAGAGATGGTCGTTATATAATCCTGGGTTTGTTGTCTGTCCCTTCCACCGCACCACAGTAGGACCAGGATGGTACCCAGGAAGCCCTTAGAAATACTGAAGGTATGATGCTGTTTTTGTTATATCCTTTTGTTCTGGCATGTTCGAGGCTGCACTTTCTCTATTCTTACGCCTGTATAATATAACAACACGAAAGAAGCCGACGTTTCGTAACTTCCACTAGGCCTTCATACGGGGGTACGAATCGTAAAGTTCGGTAAAAAAAAGGGGGTCATAGTTGGCCAGGAGCATGGGAGAATCAGTCCGCGGGATTTTGGGCAAATAATGAACTCTACGGTGGCTATTAAAACTTAGGCTATTAAAAATCGTGATTTTTTTCTAGCGTTGCGGAGCGAAAATTCGGATGGTACCCAGGTTAATGCTTTTTGAACCCTCGTTGTTAGTCTGGTGGAGACTACTAGACGTTTCGGTGATCGGAGACAAGGGGTGAAACTGATGGCATGGTATGAGTATCTCACATTTTGAGGTAAATAGATCTGTTTGTTTGACAGAAATTGTCTTTTTGCAGGGCATGATCCCCGAGCTTCCCAGCATGCCTTGCACGCGGCGGTCGGAGGAAGTTCCGGTGCTGTTCCGTGAGCCGTACGTGCATGACGGGTACCGCGCCCCGCACCAGCCCTGGCACTACTACCTCCTCAGTCTCTTCCAGATTCACAACGAAGTGATGAACGCCTGGACACACCTCATACCGTTCTCCATCCTCCTCTACAACGTTTTCACCCGTACAGGTAAGGCCGAATGTCCCTTTACCGTTGCCATAGTTTCTGCACAAAGTTACCACGTCTAGTACTTGTATCAGGCATATTAGTAGAAATTATGTTTACCTTCACGCAAAAATAAGGAGAACATGTTGCTTTTGCTCTGTTTCTTCTTCCTCTTTTTGTCCAAACAAATAAAGTTAATGACCTGGACCAGAAGGCTGCCACCTGCGGTGTTGGGCTATGTAATGTAGCAGGACAGACCTGAAGGGGCTGGCCACCATATATTATGAATTCGAATATGAATGTATTTTAGAATAAACATAGCAGTAGTAGCTGCCAAAATGTAGTACAGAGAGAGAGAGAGTAAAAGATTTCTTCTGTACCAAGCGCACTTCTTATTTGACGTTATGTAATTGTATAACTGTTTTCTGAGGTTTTAAAGTCGTTTCGTTTGAAAATTATGAATTTTTTAAATGGAATTTTGTGTAAATTAGTTGTAATTCAGACTTTTGATTGTCTGCCATATAATAAAGTTCTTAATTTTTTTTACGTTACAGGTGAGCTAGACTTCAGCGCTGACCACACGTGTTGGGCCTTACTTCTACTCGGTTTCGGCGGTTGCTCATTCCTGTTCCTCAGCTTCGCCGCCCACCTCTTCCAGTCCCACTCTGAGCACGCGCACTACATGTGTTTCATCCTGGACTACGTGGGCATCGCGTTCTACGGTTTCACGGCCGGACTTGCGCAGTTCTCTATTTGCAGCGACCCGTGGTTTTCCCGCGTGTTTAAACCTTTTTTCTTCCCGCTCCTGGTGGCCAGCGGCTGTTACACGTGCGTCTGCTGTTCCTACGGGAAGGTCAGGTTCAACCGGCCCTATCCGCGCATGCGCTGGGTGCTCCAGATCAGCGCCGTCGGCAGCATGTACGTGCTGTCCATGTCTCCCGTCCTGCACCGCGTCTTCATGGATCACTTCCGGGGCAGCATGGATACTGTTTCCTGGATGCACGTGGCGCACGCCTCGTTCTTCATGACGGGAGTCTTCTTCTACACGTCCAACGTCCCGCACAAGTTCCAGCCGGGGACGTTCGACATCTTCGGGCACGGGCATCAGCTCTTCCACGTGGCCATGGCGACCATGGCCATCGTACAGTTCGAGACGGTGTTTCGAGACCTTCAGTCCGGGCGCCACCTGCTGCTGTCCCGTCCGTCAGCCACGTCGATCCTGGTGCAGCTTGCTGTCGTCCTGCTGTGCTGTGTCGTCAGCACACTCGGCATGGCAGTAAAAGTGCGCCGGAAACTGAGGAACAAAGTGCAGTAGCTGTGTCGGTTGCCCTCATTCCATGCAAGTTCAGGGCGACAAAACTGGATTTTCAAAGTCAATTTTCTGGTCATTTTTTAATGTAGTTAGTGGAATCAATCCTGTCCCATAGCATATAGCCTGGGTACCATCCAGATCTGGGCTTCGCAACGCTCGAAGATAATCCAGATGATACCCAGGCCAATAGCATACTGATATCTGTGAGGCTAAAATTCGATGTCACTAATGGAAAACGGTTGCTTGTTAACATGTTTGGGTGCTATTTCAAACGATTCAATTTATGAAATAATGACGAAAATGTACTCATGATGAAATAGCCGTAAATGTCAATATAGACAGATTTCATCATCCAGAATAGTTTTCGTCTTGCCCTCCTGAAATTACATTGGGTGGTATGTAAGCCATTTGAATTTGTGCAAGAAGTTTTTATCAATAGAACCTCCTCAATTTGTGTTATCACAAACGTGCTCAGGTGTAAATTTAGCAATAAAAGTTAAGTGGACAACTTGTGTAAAATTACACACGAAAAGTTAGGAAAGGTGTTAGTACTAACGGACACGGTTGAGTATTGGTTAAGCTTGTTAAGGTTAACCCGAATTAATGCACATATACAATGTAACATCATGCACTGTTATAGTTCAATGACGTTAGACATTTAAAATTGGGAGGCTATATTCGTGAATGTTTGACAGGGGCCTAATGAAAAAAAATGACGTAAGAACGGTTAAAATGAACCCCGCATATATCCAGGCGACGAAACAAAAGCTGTTGTCAGGTCCAACTCCGATTGAAGTCAAATATTTTTCACCGATCTTATGTGTTGCCTAGTGAACAGAAATGTCTTAGGACTCAGGGATCGTAAGATTTTATCAATGAAAGTGCTTCTATACCATGGACACGACCTACATATATTACCATTTCAGTACCCACGTTGTGGAAAATTAGCGGCCCGTGTACAGTATAGAAATCAATGTAACATACTATGTTTGAACTTGCGGTGTTCTTTCAACTTCTGTACCGCTGTTGTACCGCACCGAACAAAGGGGCATTTCTGGGTACAAATTCGCACAATGACTGCCGAAATTTCTCCAGCGATCCGTAAAATTAGCCGAACAAATAAATGTCACTGCAGTCGCCCGAGAGGTAACGACGTCGCGGGCTAGAATTCGTCCTTGTGAAGTTCTTGTACTGAACGTGAGCCCCACCACCCGCCTTCAGAAATCTCCACTAAGAACTGATCAACACCTTATTTTAGTAACACAGACGAAAGACAGGGACAATGTGGCATTACACTCAAGTAAAACTTGATTTGCACAGTTCGTTGCTCCACCTGGTGGTGGCCGTTAGAACCGCAACCTGCAAGTCTGATCTCCTAAAGGACGTTGGATGAAATCCTGGTTATCGTGTGTCCCCTTTTTCTACAGACGCTGACTCACACACATGCGCGCGCGCACACACACACACACACACACACACACACACACACACACACACACAAACACACAAACACGCACACAGACACTTATCTCTCTGTATATTTAGTCCTTTTTGTGGCTACAAGGATATATCAAATTAGCAAAGCTGTATCAAATTGGTTGGACAATATCTAATACGCCACCCGATAGGCTGTCGAAAAAAAGATACCAAACGTAACAAAAGAAAGCGGTTCTGATCAAGACCATGTAACAGAGCAAACAGTGGGGATAGGGGGACTTTTCATAAAACTTTATTTGAGCAATCAGCCAGCCTAGTTACCTTTAACCCCCCTCCCCCTGCGGTCCTTGGCAAACAATGTGTGGCGAAAATAAACAACCTGCGACAACCTTCATCGTGAGGGTACGACGTTAATACGCCCCTGCCCGCTACTCGCGCACGTACAGTCTTGGGTAGTGGCGTGTGTGTGCCGTGATTGTGACGTGCTGTATGTGTTTCAGGACCGTTTTGTGTGCTTGATTGTCCGTCATTGAATTTGTTCACTTTTTTACTACCCATGGCAGGAATTTCAGCTCTCAAACATATGCATGGGAATTTCTCAGCTCTCGCTCCACTAAGCTAAACTCTGTCTGTATCTGTATAGGCGGTATAACCGCCCTTCGGCACAACACACCAGCTTCGCAGGCACAAACTGAAGGACTGTCGGCGACAAAGGTAGATAACATATATTATAAATCATGGTGATTATTTTTAACATTTTCATTTGATCAGTACGTGACAATAAGGCACCTGACAAGGCCGTACTTAAGCTTTATTGGTGCTTTCCCGGGACATCTTAATCTGTACCTCTTTGGTGTTAGTCTTATTTTTGTGGTTGTGTTGATACAAGTTACAACTATATTGCCCTTGTAATTTTGTTGTTAAGATTTTACAATCTAAACATAGCAGAAGAGTTAGCTGTAAAATCGGTTGCAGTCCTTTCCTACAGCATACGCTAGGCCTGAACGTTTTGTACGTATGCAACTGGTCCGTGTCATTTTTAAAAGTATTCTTCAAGCAGATGTGGAGTCTTGCAGTGGTAAAATCCTTTTTTATCTCGTCCTGTCAAGCGAAAACATCTATTAATAAAGCACATAAAACTCCAGAGCCACTCTACATCTGCTTGGAGATTACTTATATATAGGACGCACTAGCTGCACACACCTATATGGCTATGCTTGATAAACTGCAATTTGCAGTAGGTTGCTGCTCCTGGCAGAAAATGATGAATTTAAACTAAATACCAAATAACTTGCAGGAAGCTCGAGTCATCTCCCCGAGGCAGCTCACCAAATCAAGCTGGGTTTGTCTTTATCATTCCATTTTTATATATATTACATACTTCCTGTAAGTCCTACGCTACGACCATAACGGTTTGTAGATTGCACCTTGTATAATTCACCAGTTGTATTTGTTGCTATTGATTTTTGTTTTACCAAATCAGTGTTCTGCAGGTCCCGGCGGGTTATCGGAATGTTTGCTCTGAAACAATCTTCGTTCTGAAGTCCGCAGTAACTTTTATACCGGGGGCAAATATTTACAAGGCCTCTTGAACCTGTTTTTATACACCTTCAAACACTACATCGGCAAAGAAGCCCGCATTTCCTGTAGCCTCGTTGGCAGGCGCTACGACTGGGCTTTTCGGGTTACTTTTACATGCTTTTTTTCTTTCCTGTATACCACATCCTTTTTGTACTGGGCCGGCAAAGGAACCTCGGTTACAACTGGAAATACCAAGGGAAAAGCGCATTGATATAGAGGCTCTCTGAAAAGCCCAGTCGACTCTGCGAAGGAGGCTAGATTTTCTGCACGTACGCGTCCCATGCCCAAGTCTATGTTTTGTAGCTTTGGCTACAACTTCATTGTAGTTCGAGGACTCACATTTGTAGGTTAGCAATGCTGAATAAGTGTAACAGGTGTGTTGGCGCCCATATGACACGATTCGTTTCTCTAACGGTGACTCTATTATATTCCACACGAAGCGAACGCAGGCAGATGCAGCTGTTTGTTACGTATAGCCTGGCATCTTGGCGTCCGTCGAATGTTACCTGGTAATACTGGTATCATATTATGACCAATGACTTAACATGTACGTAGGACTGCATTTCAGAATGGAATCACACTGCATCACTGCATCAAACTAAATTTCACCAATATTTTCCTTCTATGACACCGCATACCCCCTCCCCTCCGCCACCAAATATTTGACCAAAAGCCAATTGCATACTACTTTGGTACCTGATGCTAAAAGTAACAAATTCAAAAGTCAAAGTCGGTAAAATATTGTGTTTGAATTTTGTTTAACAAAGACGTACTCTGAAATGACATCAGGACGCGTCGTGCCGTTCTATAGGTCAACAAAAGACCGGTTCGCAAAAAAGATGGATCGCGCACGTAAGGCAACTCGAAGATCGCCAAGAGAAAAAGGCACGAATCGGAGGGAAGGGAACCGCTGGACAGAGGCGAATCTGCGGGCGCGAATGCAGACGATAGGCTCCTCGAAGGACCTGGATCTCTCGCACAAGCGTTTGAAAGAAATCCCGCCAGCCGTTTTTAGCATCACAGAGCTGGATATCCTGGACGTGTCGGACAACCCGCTGGGCTCCTTACCGGTCAACATCGCCAGTCTGCACAATCTGAAGGAGGTGCGAGCGGCCGGATGTGACGTCAGCGAGGTGAGCGGGAACATCTCCAGGTGCGCCTACCTGACCCGGATAGACTTGTCCAGAAACCCGCGCCTCGCCTCGCTGCCGCCCACCATGAAGCAGCTTCGATACTTGAAACACGTGGCTCTGAGTAGTTGTGAGCTGACCTCGCTTCCCGAGAATCTCACTCTCCTGGCGACGGTGGAAACTCTGGACCTGTCCCAGAACCAGCTGACGTCTCTCCCGCCCGGCATCGCGGCGCTCACGCGGGTGAAAGTCCTAATCATCAGCGATAACGCCTTTGGGACCATCCCAGAATCCATCGAGTCTCTGGGCCGCCTGGACCGTCTGGAGATGAAGCGGAACAAGCTTAACAACAGCAGCGGCGATCTGAAGCTAAACGTCCCCGCACACTTAAAGGCGTTGGACATGGAGGGCAACTACTCCTTAAAGGTGCTGCCAGAAGGTCTTGAGCGTCTTGAGAAGTTGGAGGAACTGAACATGAGCTACTGCGGCCTGGAGACGCTACCGGAGTCCGTAGGAAAGCTGAGCTCCATCAGGCGGCTTCACCTGGCCGGGAACAAGCTGCGCGTGCTCCCCGCCAGCCTGGGAAACCTGCTCCGCCTGCAGACGCTGGACCTGGAGGGGAACCGCCGTCTGTCCGACCTGCCGCTCACCCTGTACCAGCTCAGGGACAGTCTCAGGGACAAACAGGCCGGCACGAACACAGGGCTCATCCTGGATAACTGCCCGGCACTGGCGCTGCCCGAGGCCGAGGTGCTCCAGGGAAATGTCGTCTCTGTGCTCGTCGACCTTCTGTCAGAAGATATCCTCCACAAGACGTCGGTCCGCGTCGCTGCGGAGGTTGTTGACGAGACCATCGTGGAAGGTCTGACAGACAACATGGTCGCGGTGACGGAGGAGTGCGTTTGGGACGACCTGATGTTGGATGTCGCAGGTGTGGTTATCGCTGACAAGGAATGTTCGGAATACGTCTTCCGAAGCATGCTGGAAGAAGTCCTGCCAGGGCTTATGAAGGAGATAACCGTAGAAAGTATAGACGAAGAAACGGCCATGGCCATCGTGGCAGGCGAGTTGTTGGAAGAAACGGCGAGCTCGATGACAGAGGAGTTGGCTACAGACGCAGTGCAGGTGGATGATGCGGCAAGAGCCGCCATGGAAGAGCTTCTGGAATCCGGCATTAAGGCAACGGCGACAGAAGTGGCAACAGGCGCGATGCAACTAGATGCTGCGTCATGGAATGTCATGGAAGAGTTTATGGAGGAAGCAGAAACGCTTATGCTAAAAGAAGTGGCGGAAAGCGCGGTGCAAGTAGACAATGTGGCGCGGGAAATATTGGATGACATTTTGGGAGAAGTTACGGAGGCGATAACTGATGAGATGGCGGCACGCGCTGCGCAGGTAGATGCCGCGGCGTGGGAAGAGTTGGAAGAGCTTTCGAGGGAAGTCACCGAAGCTGTATCTAAGAAAGTGGCGGCACGCGCTGTGCGGCTGGATGTTGTGGCGTGGGAAGTGATGCAGGGGCTGTTGGAGGAAGTCCCTGCAGCAATGACGGAAGACTTGGCCACACACGCGGCCCAGGTAGACGCTATGACATGGAGAGTGATGGGAGAGATGTTGGAGGAGGTGAGGATGGTGATGACAGAAGAAATGGCAACAGCCGCTGTGCAGGTAGACAATGTGGCCTGGGAGGTGTTGGAAAACATGTTGGAAGAAGTCATGGAGCCGATAACTACGGAGGCAGCAGTAAGTGGTGCGCAGTTAGATGACGTGGCCTGGGGAGTGTTGCAGGAGCTTTTGGAGGAAGTCACGGAGGCTTTGACAACCGAAGTGGCCACACACGCTGCCCGCGTGGACGCCATGACGTGGGAAGTGGTGGCAGAGATGTGGGAGGAAGCGATAGAGGAAGTGGCTGCAGGCGAGGTGCGCCTAGACGCCACCTTGCGGGGAGTCGCGGAAACGCTCATGAAAGAAGCCACCAGGGCGATGGCGAAGTCGGTCGCTAGCGAAGAACATGCAATATGGCACCTCGCGATGGACGTGATGGAAGGGCTCCTGGACCGAATCTCCAAGGCAACCGCGAGGTCAGTTGCTCTGGAAGTGTACGAAGAATCCCGCCTGGGTCAAACCGTTCCAGACGAGTACAACAAACAGACTAGGTGAGTGTTACATGAATTCTTTCCTGATCTTTCCTGACGTTTTCATAATCAAGCCTTACGAGACACTTGTGTGCTCTCAGTGGGCATTGGTTGGGCAGTGTGCTAAGTTTAACGTGTCTATAAGCCTGCGTACAGGATTCAAAGAGCTAATTTCCAAGCAGATTCTGTGGGCAATGGCAGAGGTTACAGGAGGCTAATGGATTCAGGAGGCCAGTATGGACTCCCATTGCCCCACATGCACAGAGTCTACTTGAAGATTATCAACGATCTCACTTCGTCTGTTTGTCATCCACAGCCACTGGGTTTCTGGAGCCGCACGCGCCGTGCAGTACCTGAGCCTCCCGGCCGGCGGCGTGCTTGCCATCCCCCCAAGAGCAACCGGCGACACCTCGGTCATCTCGGCGGTGCTGAACCCGCACGGCTGCGGCCAGACCATCGCGCTTCGGGACGACGAGCTGCTGGTGAGCGACGTCTTGCAGCTTCGCCCGGCGGGACTGAGGTTCTCCCAGCCCGTCACTCTCACACTCACGCACGCTTTGCCCAGGTTTGTTTGTTTCGCATAACCTGTAAACCCGCATTTAGGCGTAACACAGTTTTGTACATGTAAGTACAAGCTGCGTAACACCAGAACTGTAAGGTTTGAACTACTCACGCCGGAAGAGACCCCTGCTCTTTCCGATAATTTTCGTAGGTTCTTCAACGTGCGTGGGGTGTGGCTATCCGAGGGACGTCCTTAACCGAAGCTAGGTACTCATTTCCACCTGAGTGAATTGAGGAAAGTCGTGTCAAGTGCCTTTCCCAAGGGCACAAGATTGGTGACATGATAGGTTTGATCCCAGGACCTCTTGGTCCTGAGCCGAACACACTACCGTCTACCTCACACAGGTTCCACCTTGAGAAGCAGTACGTGGTGAAGACATCTGGAAACGGCGGGCGGACGTGGCAGACTCTCAACACGCGGAGTCAGAAGAACGAGTGGGTAAGTACCGAAGGTCCAAAGCAGGGCAAGCGGGTATCTTAAAGCTTGTAATTATGAAATAAAGACTATGATGTGATGCTTTAAATTCCAACTCTGACAAAGTATTGGGACTTACCCCAAATTTTCGGTTGACTCCATCAAACTTGTTCACGGAATGGACCCGTCTACTCTTGGAACGTGACGTCAGAGACAAGTGACCGTAGTAGCGGGTCATACGTGCCAGATAACTTGTGTCGCCCCCCGTCTCTGTTCAGGTGTAAGTCCCAATACTTGGCCAGTAAGTGTTGGAAGTTAAAGCTTAGTCTTAATTTCATAATGACTTATACCAACACAGATGAACTTTCATGCTAGGTATCTTTGTAAGTTGCCGTTTTCAAACATCCGTTTCAAAAATCACGGCTTATCACTTGTCCGATACGTACTGTATCTAGTATCAAGCAAACTTTGAAAGTATTCAGATCCCTGAATTGCATGCAGCAATTCAAATCCCCTGACTTCTTTTTCACAACCGGTTTATATATTGAGTTTTATCCGTACCTTCCAGGGGCAGCACGTTGTAACAGTGGATGTGTCGCATTTCTCGGAGTTTGCTGTGGTGGCGCGGCCTCTGGAGCGGTACCAGGCATCACCGCTCCGCTCCTCATCTCAAACAGACGTCCTGATATCCCTACCCAGGGACTTTGGTGGCCATCGGTCGGTGGGGTATACGGTAAGAAACCTTACGCCCGTTCTACTCTTTTGCCAAGATGCAATCCTGTATCTATTTGCAGAAGCACGTTGTTTTGCTCTGTACATATGTCCAGACAAAATGACTGTCACCATAATAACTAGTATTGTAACAGACACCCTGTGGTGTTGGGTTACATGATGTAGCATCATTATCATCATCACCATCTTGTCGTGAGAGACTCTTTCGTGACGTATGTTCATGATGTAGCAAGGGACGGGTTAGTACCATATGATCATGGAGCCCGGTCATGAAAGCGTTTGAGCAAGAATAAACATAGCAGTACTTTGTAAGGCCAGACCATGTGAAGGTAAACATAATGCATTTGCTTTGCATTATTAACTTTCTAGTTATGTTTACCGAAGGAAAACATATCGTTTTTGCTCAGTTTCTTCCTCTTCTTCTCCAAACAGTGACCTCTGATCTGACCAATGACATGATTCGTTGATGCCTGTCACCATGGTGACTGTTGTTGGGTTACACAATGTTGCAATTTCATGGTCTGCTCTGCTCCTGTCACCATATACTAGAGAAGTAACATTTGCAAAGCAAATGCATAATGTTTACCTTCGGACATGGCCTGCCCTGTTAATTTTTACTCAAACATATTCACAGGACAGACCATGTCCGAAGGTAAACATTATGCATTTGCTTTGCAAATGTTACTTCTCTAGTTGTAATTAAGTTTTCCTTCTCTGGTGTTCAAACTAAGGTCCTGCCGGTGGATGCCGACACCCTGACGTGCGCCGCCATGAAGGATGGTATCCGTGAGGTCCGAGGTATGAGTCACATCGTCCGGTTCTGTAAGAACCTGCTCCTCAGCAGCCCTGCCACCGTGGTGCTGCCCCTGGCCCCCGGGAACGCCCGAGTCCGCGTCATCAGCTATGATGACGTCACAAAGCGCTGGCATGACGTCACCAGCTCCGTGGACGACCTCGTCATACAAGGGTCAAAGGTTGCCTTCAAGACCGACCAGCTCAGAGCTGGGTAAGTTTCATTGGGAAAGTTGGAGGAAAGTAATCCAAGCAGATCCGGCGGAAACAAGTCACTCTCGAATTGACCAAGCTGTGACCGGGTCTGCTTGGAGACACGTATTACTAAGTGTTCTGATAGCGTCGAAGTCTCAGAGAACGGAATCTCCTACTCTCCAAGCAAAGGTTTGGGTTTTGGCTTATGTTTGGTGTGTTTTTATCTGGCTTTCTTTTTTGCACTTTTTTTGGGTTGGCGTAAAAAAAAAGCAGTACAAAAAAGGAAGCCCGATTAAAAAAAAAACTCGCCAACAATAAGCCAAACCTCTGCTTGGAGCGTAGGAATCTCCGAGTAGCGTTCCTTCTGGGTATCAAACAAGCCCTTTCAAATCGCCAAGACCCCTTCACAGGATGACCCGCGCCAGCTTTCTATTATGTTTTTGGGAGGATAAAAAAATCTATCTGGATCAGGCACAAGGCATTGCCCAAAACGAAAGTTATCAGTGACAGCACTGCCAAAATGTAGTCGATAGTAGCATCTCTAATGACAACTAACCGAGTCGTAACTTTCTCCTAGCTTCGCGGTTGTTTGCGACAACAGCTTGGATGATCCAACCAGAACTGTCGAAATGGTAACCAAGAACACCCGGGCCAGGCTCGTACAGATCGTCATCTTGAAGAAGTGGCAGGACGCGCGGCGGGACGGAGTGATGACGGCGCGGATCGAGTGCGTGCACACGGAGCGGGCGGAGGACCGCGTCTGCCAGGCACAGCTTCGGGAGGATTTCGAGTGTCAGGTGAGACGGTAGATCATCTCCAAGCAGATCCTAGGGTGAAAAGGCGCTACAATTCGCCCATTAAGCAGTAGTTAAGTTGGGCAATTGGCTACTGACTTCCCCACCTTAGGGTCTGCTTGGGGATTAAGTATAAACTCTTAGATTTGCATAGACCATCCAGGACCGTGTCTGATCCTAACATTACTTCAAGTACAGGCACGATGCTGGATATGATATCCTTCTTGTTGGATATGATGTCCTTCACAGGCAGGCAGGCAACGTGTTGTTTGTTTGTTTATTTGTTTGTTTATTTCCACAGGAAGGCACGCCCTCACCTACAATCGTTTTGTTTGTTTGTTTGTTTCCACAGGAAGGCACGCCCACACCTACAATCGTGTTGTTTGTTTGTTTGTTTGTTTCCACAGGAAGGCACACCCACACCTACAATCGTGTTGTTTGTTTGTTTGTTTGTTTCCACAGGAAGGCACACCCACACCTACAATCGTGTTGTTTGTTTGTTTGTTTGTTTCCACAGGAAGGCACACCCACACCTACAATCGTTTGTTTGTTTGTTTGTTTGTTTGTTTGTTTGTTTCCACAGGAAGGCACACCCACACCTACAATCGTTTGTTTGTTTGTTTGTTTGCTTCCACAGGAAGGCACGCCCACACCTACAATCGTGTTGTTGGAAGGAGAGGATATCTGCTGCGTGTTTGAGGGGCAGATCCGTCCCGAGGAAAAGATTAACGGGCACCACGGGGTGAACTTCACGTTCTACTGTGAGCGGCCGCGCGTGCTGGAGTTCCACGCCAGGCTGGCGTCAGGAGGCAGAGGCGCTACATCTAGAGTCCGCGTGTACCCCGGGAGGCTGGAGCGACTCCCATATAGGCCTCCTACACCGCCTCCTACACCCCCGATACAGGTTCATCGGGCTCCCGTGCCCCAGCAACAAACATACACAGGTCCAGCCGTTCCACGGCCACAACCAGCACCGCCGCCACCAGTACGGTGGCCCAAACTTCTGGCATCTGCTGAAATAACTCCTCCCACTGTAAGTAAGGTTATTCTCTTCAACAATGCAGTACTTTCTCAGAGTCCGATTGTTGTTTGTTTGTTTGTTTACTCGGATTATTAGAGTCAAGTTGGTGTAAGCTAAGGTTGCTTTGTCCTGCAGGTTGGGAAACTACCGCAAATTCTTACATATATTTTTTTGACGTATTTCTATGCAGCTGTGGTGAAGGGTAGTCTGTGTCAGCCTCCGTCTGTGTGGGCTCCGCAGTGTTGGACAAATGCAAACCGTGCGCCATGCTGACCACACATGCAGTTCTGATAGTCCTCGCTAGGAGATAACGTTTCTCATGCTGATACAGGCTTACATTACAAAGGACCTGGCGATGAATCATTCGCAGACTTGATAATTTCTATAATATCGATACTTTTATTTTGATATTGATAATTTCACTTCTTGAATCAAGCTGGTGTTGTTTCCCTTGCACAGTGAAGAAAGACTTGTGAATGACAAGAGGGCACAGTCACCACCACACATGATCTAATCATTTCGTGGAGGTCTGAGGTCTCTGTAATTCAATAGGAACCTATTTTTTGACAAATCCATGCTGGGGACACTAGTACTTTAAGACTGCTGTATGAAATTGTCTGAACGCCAAACCCTCTAGTTTCAAGCTTCTCAGTCATGGTTCTGCAGCACAATATCACTACAAATTTGCAAAGTTCAAAAGTCAGTTGTTTATATGATGAAAATGACAAGAGTTTTACAATTATTTTGTCTTTATTCGCACAAACCATTGTAACACATCTAAGTAACAGTATCTTGCTTCTTGGCCCTTCTATGAAAATACACCAGCTGACCATGGTGAAAACAAATAAAATATTGTCATGTCAGAATACCCAAAGATCAGTCAATACTAGAAATCTGATAAACACAGGCTATGTAGAATATACATCCATCGTTGCTGTCCTCTGCTGTCAAGTTTTCCATTTCAAACCACAATCAGGGAAGTTACATGTGTAGAACGTCCAGCTTGTATATTTTGTATAATCCAGCTGTATAGATAAACTAATATTACCTATATAATAGTCATAACTGCTTGTAATATGAGATATAGCAGTTCATGGCTCATTTCACATGTTGTTGTTACTATACTTTTCAAAATTATCTTATAACCAAGCCATATTGGTGGAAAGCATTTTGTATATAAATACATGACATTGTATGTTGCAGGTCAGTCACAGATAAAATCAGACGATAATCTCTTCTCCTCAGGCCTAGGAAAATTAATGTTGTGTTTCCTGTAATGATGTTCCAGAGAAATTTAGGGTCGGTTGGTAGGGATTCACTTTTGTAAAATCTTTGTTTTGTTTACATCTTGGCTAAAGTGATCCAACAAATAGAGTTAATATAACACTGAAATGTATCAGTACACTGGTACTTAGACTTGAACCAAAATGATATGACCTGAGTTATGACTCGTTTCAGTTTGTGTATCAGTATATGTATCAGTACACACCACTAGACTCCACCAGACTCTTTTGCAGGCTGAATAAATAGTAGAAATCAGCCTAAAAAGAGAATGTAGCTGTCCAGGGGAGTTGGTTGGCTATACAGCTACGAGGGTCCAGTTCTATGCAGGCAAACTGGACCTTCTATGGCCGACCAACACCCCTGACCAGCAACATTATTTTGGGGCCGATTTCTACTATTTATTCAGCCTGCTAAAGAGTCTGGTGGATAACGCACTATTATGACAGATCAAAAATTTTATATCTCTCGTTGGCAGACAACTAATAAAAGGCTAGGGTTGGGGGATTTTTGCTAGGGTTGGGGAGTAACCAACAACACAACATTTTCCCTAGGCCTCAGCACGTCTGGATCAGCCTCTCCGTAAATTCAGCGCCTCTTGTTCCCTCCACCGGCCAGCAGGGTGGCGATTCTGATGAAGATGTTGAGTGTGTCGATGTAGATCCTCAGAGAACTGTAACAACAACACAAGACATCAGGCATTATCCTCTATACAGGTTCCTGCAGTAGTTTTGATATGGCAAAGTTTAACTGGACCACCCCATGAAAGTAATATAAACAAAAAACTACAACATACAAGACTTGTTTATGGCACCCAATGCAATTTCAGGGAAGCAAAACTGGATTTTCAAATTCAATTTTCTTTTAAAGTATTAAGCTGAATCAAGACGATACAGATGCTTGAATATAAAGTTGCCAATAAAAAAAGTTGCTTGTTTTGTATCATAGGCTGGCTCATGATATTTACAATGTATTGGTACCAAACAATAAAAGAATTCACATACTAAACTTGTTTTGGGGCTATTTCAAACCCTCCAAGTATAAAATGATAACAAAAAGGTGCTAAGAAATAGATAGTAAATAGTCAATATCAGACAGATGTCCTCATCCAGAATGTTTTGTTTTGCCACCCTGAAATTACATAATTTGGAAATTCCACCATTATTAATTTGGCATTATTCCTTTTATCCAGCTATTTATTTTTGTATTTTCCTTATCCATCTTAAACAAATCCAGGTCAATCTGTCAACCCTCCTCACAGGTGTAGGGACTGACAAGGTCATCATACTCGGAAAATCTGTATCTGTACATGAATCTGTATAATGAATATGTATCTGTACATGAATCTGTTATCTGATTGCAAATAAAGATCTCAAGTGATTGTCATAGACAGATTTTGTATTGAACTTTTCAAACATCTAGGGAAGGAATGGACTCACGCATTGACGGGGTCGTACGGTCGAGCGGCGTAGAGCGGGTAGGTTTCCGCTTTCCTGATGATGTGCTGCGTGTCGTACAGCAGGAAGGCTCCAAACAGGATGAGTCCTCCGTACATGCTGATGGAGTACAGGCCCAGACCCAGGGCTCCCGTCGGGGGGATGAACATGTTTCCTAGTACACAAACACAGGGAAAAACATGATCATCATATAAGGGTTTTCTTATACACAGCCAAATATTCCTACTTTGCTTACGTTTCTGTGACGTAGGTGGTGCTTTTGCGGCGAGAACGCAATCCCAAAGTTGACTACAGTGATGAACTGGGAAGAAGGGGGGGGAAGAAGGGGGGGGGGGTACAAACTAAGCCATGCTTGGGATTGCGTTCTCGCCACAAAAGAGCCACCTATATCGGTTACATACATGTACATGTATAGCGGCGAGAAGCAGAACTCCATTTAGAAGCTCTGAAGGTATATGAGAGACACAGAAACGTAAGCAAGGTACGAATATTTGGTTGTGTAGAAGGCTGGGTTAGTATCTTAACAATGAAATTTGAACTTTTGATCAAACCACTGCATTGATAGATGGAAAAAATGTAACAAGTAGAAAGAAAAGGACTTTCCTCAACTGTTGATTCAGAACCAGAGTTGATTCAGAACCAGAATCTTCTGTTATTTTTTTTTTCTTGCGAATCAGAAAAAAACGAAGAGGCGAATCCGAGAACCAACTAATTAAATTGGTGTGGCCTTAGTACAACATACTAACCAATGGAAGCCATGAAGACAACACCCAACCCGATGGCCAATGGTCCGCCCATGTTCAGGAACTTCTCACTGGGAGCACACACCGCAACAGCTGACAGACCTGGAACACAACAACATTAAGTGTCTTTATGTTGCTTGTACTTT